ATATTGAATTGATCTTTTAAAAGTTCGTGGTCCTGTTGAGGTAGACTTAAGTAGTTGTAATTGAGATACAATTAAATAGTTACTTTGGTGCTAAATTTTATTTGATTTACTGCTCAGAAACCATTATTAGGGATTATTATTAATTTCTAATTGTTTTATGGTAGCATTTTAAAGTGCAATTGTAAAAATTTGATTAAAGAAGACCGAAAGTTTTAGAAAGGTGAAAAGAATTTTTTCTGTTTTATTTTGGAGTGTTGAATAGCCTGAATTGAGGCTGCATGGGCATATTTTGAATGAAATATGTTGTGAAATGGTAAGGTATATGTGGGAGAACAGGAACCATTTATTCAGTAAACATTTATCATATTAATATCTTCCAGGTCTCCCAGAGTTAATTAGGTTTGTCAATGCCAAGGGAAGTATCTATCAGTATTTAGAACTACACAATGAGTGGATTTTCACATTGGCATTATACTGAGAATCCAGTTATCCTAAGGTGTTTGCTGCCTAAAGATCCGCATGTAGTATTGGTTAGACTGGAATTGGCATGCCTTAAAGATTTCTGGGGGAAAATTACTGACTTTTTCAAAAGATAAATGTCAAGCAGGTATGACGATAGCATAAAGGACAGAGGTTTTTTTTTTTTCTTTGAAACAAAAGACTCACTAATAGTGTAAAATATATTTTTTAAAGAATTATTTATTTAACTTTATTCATTTATTTTAATTTGATCCAGAGAGAGACAGAAAGAAAGCCATCAGGTCCAGGACTCAAACCGTGGTCAGCCATGTGGGAGTGTCCAGCACCTTAACCACCATGCCACCTGCTCGTCCCAATATTATAAAATCTTTGAAATTTAATTTGCCCCTGGTAGCTAATTTAGTTGCTCTATTTTAGTTTTCTGAGTAATGTAATCAAAATAATAATAAAGCTTTAGATTACTGACTGTTAAGGCATAGTATATAAGATTATAGGCTATGTATTTTTTTTTTTCTTAAATTTGCTAGAGAATGTGTGCTGGGGTGGCTGGAGGGTGGAGAAGGAAGGAAATTGAGGAAGCACCCTCTATGGGAGATGGTCCCACACTGCAATCCCTCCTCCAATTCTCCTTTTGGGATTTTGGTCATGCAAGTACACATACCTGGCATGTTTTTCAAGCTGTAGGGTCTGGCCTATAGTCAGCCATGCAGGATCCAGCCACCTTAACCACTAAGCCACTGGCTGACCTGATTAAAGACTATATTTATTGAAAATTTAAATGGTTATCTTACATGTATCTTTCCCATTCATTTATTCATTCAACTAATATATTTTGAGTCTCTACTGTCATTATTCTCCTAGAATTTATAGGCTAGCAGGGATGAAATATTAAATAAGCAATTTTAGAATCGTTAATTATTTATAAGTACTTGATTTTTAATGTTTATCTTTAACAATTGTATCATTAATACACACACAAGGTATTCTGGATCAGAGGAGAGTTCTTGATAATGTGTGTTGGCCTGCCTTTGCCCTAGTCCTTACTCATAGGACTATACCCTTCAGATTCAAGTCAGTTTTCCTCCATGTGTGGCCAGACAGTGTCAGTGAGGGATGAAGAAAAATGATTTTTCTCTGTTTATTAATGGGAAAGAGGCAACAGTTCTCGTCCCCTCCTGAAAGAATCATTTAGGTAATAATGATGATAAGCCTAACTCTTGCTTCCAACCCATTGGTATTGATGTGAGATGTTGGGGTGGTCAGGTGTGGAGGGCAGCCAGTCTGAAAACGTGTGATTAAAACATGTGGCCTGTATATGTTTATGCTGAGCTAGTCCCGCCAGTCAGGCCAAACACCAGTACCTGATACAGGACTGTGAGATGCCCAGGTTCTTGTCTCATGCTGAAAGAATTACAGACGAAGACACACAGACAAGCAGAAAGCAAAGCTTATTAAGGGAGAGGAAAGCTCCCAAAGCAAAGAGGAGTCTGGAAAAAGGGATGCCTGTGACTGGCTTCAGGTGAGTTTATATCTTGCAGTCTGCATAGAGGGCTGACTCTTTGATAAAGGAGGTGGCCTTCCAAAGATAGTTACATGGTAGTCTAGGTGATTTATTACTCCGCTCTTTGGGGTCAGCAGACCATACGGACCTGCGCTTTTTATTAGAATGTAGTTAGTAAATTGAAACTGTTCCTCTTAGCTATAACTGTTGGCTCTTTGTTAAAACTTAGCCACTGTGACTGCATCTTGGGTAAAGCTTACTGTGTCTCCATCTTGGCACTTATACTCTAACTATTGTATGTCCCAAACCTGTCTCCCTCCTCCATATAAAATCTTTCCAGGAGCCAGGTATCCTTATCGGTCTCTGCTTTTCTAAACTAGAGACCAAATCTGGAATCTCACCTCTTTTGACATGCAGTTAAGTCGGGAGACAGCTGATTCCCTCCTGACATCTTGGAGGCTTAGCCTGGGAGCCTACTCCAGGCTGTAACATTTTGGACTTTTCTGGGAAATAACAGCTTTTATTATCCTTTCAGATCAGAAGAAAAAAGATCTAATCCTTTTGGTATGTGGAAATGTTGCTAGGACTCTAGGGGTTTTTTGCAGGAACAATGGTAAATCCAGGAAAGTTCATTTTTCCCACAGCATTATGAAGAAAAGGATTTTATAACAGTATTATGCATGTGGTAGGAGTGGTGAGTAATCTAGTCTAAGGGTTCATGTAAAACTTAATTCTTAGGAAATAGGGTGAGTAGGATTTAACCAGTTAAAAGAGTGAGAACAGATGAGTAAAGGCATGTCAGGCAGTGGAGACAGACCATGAAAAACTGCTTAGGCAAGAAGCTGGTTAGCTGGTTCAGGGAACTGAAAGATCAGTGTGACTCGGGCCCTGGAATGATAGGGACTTTTGACATAGGCTGGAGCCACACCAAGTGTGGTCTCTGTAGAGAGCAAATTAAGAAATTTGGATATTTGGGCTGGCAGGTGGTGCAGTGGTTGGGGTGCTGGACTCCCATGTAGCCAACCACAGTTCGAGTCCTGGACCTAGCGGCTTGCTTTCTCACTTAATCTTTCTCTCTTTCTCTGTCACTTTGGTTAAATTAAAAATAATAATAATAACAAATAAATGATTCTTTAAAAAATTGGATATTATCATCTTGTAAGCTATGTAGATTAATTGAAGTATTTTTTAAAAAATACCTGTATCTTGGGCCGACCCATGGCCTGGTGGTTAAGGGAATTGGATTCCAAATGGTCTGCTGCCTGGATCCAGCAGTTTGAATCCCGTTCTCAGCTGCTTGAAAAACACACCAAACCTGTGTACATGTGTGCTCTAATTCCCAACAGGATGAAGAAATGGAGAAGGAATTGTGGCATGACCAATCCCTATTGGGGGGGAGGGAATTCTCTTTCTGTCTCTGCCTCTCTGGTGAGCACACATGGTCTGTGGAAAAAATTTTTAAAAATACATTTACCTGGGAACCAACAGTTAACGTAATGGCTATGTCGCTGGACTCCCACGTAGTCGACCGTGGTTCACGTCCTGGACCTAGTGGCTTAAAACTCACGCGGAGTGCGTGTGTGTGTGTGCCCAAGATCCCGAGAGGAGAATGGAGGAGAAGGGATTGCAGTGTGACCACCCGCCCTTGGGGGTGATTTCTCGCTTTCTGTCTCTACGTCTCTCTCTGTCTGGCTGGCGAGCGCTTGCACCGTATAGCAAAAATATCTCAAAAAAAAATAATAATAAAGAAAAAAATACATTTACCTGGGGCCAGCAGGTGGTATGTTGGTTGGGGCGCTGGACTCCCACATGGCCAACCACGGTTTGAATCCCAGACCTGCCAGCTTGATTTCTCACTCTCTTTGTCTCTCTGTCTCTCCCTGGTCAAATTAAAAAAAAAATGATGATGACTAAAATAAAATAAAATAAGCTTTTTAAAAACACATTTATTGGGGCCAGCAGGTGGCATGGTGGTTAAGAGCACTAGACTTCTACATGGCTGGCCATGGTTCGAGTCCCAGACCTGGTGGCTTGCTTTCACACTCCACCTCCTATCCTCGCTCTGTCTCTCTCTGGTCAAATTAAAATAATAAATAAAGTTAAATAAAATAATTCTTTAAAAAATACATTTATCTTTTTTTGGTTTTGTTTTTGCCATCGGGCACATGCTTTCACCAGAAGAGGCAGAAGGAGGAAAAGTGAGAAATCATTGCCCAGTGGGGGTGGCTATGCTGCAGTACCTTCTCCTGTCAGGACTTTAGGCATGCATGCACATGTGCCTGGCATGATTTTCAAACCCTCAGGTCTAGGACTCGAGTGATGTGTGGCCATGTGGCAGTCTAGCACCTTAACCACCATGCTACCTGCTGCCCCCCTAAGTACATTTATATTTTATAGCATAATTGTAATATTTAAAAAAAAATGGAGACTGGCAGGTGGCGAGGTGAGTAAGGACACTGGACTCCCATATGACCAACTGCGGTTCGAGTCTCAGACCTGGTGGGTTACTTTCTCACTACCCCCCCTCTTTCTCTGTCCCTCTCTGGTCAAATTAAAATTAAATAAATGAATAAATAAAGTTAAGTTAAAAAAAATTGTAGAAATATCGGATGAGAAATCACAGAGAAAAAATGTGACCCATTTGGGGAGCTGCAAAGAGGTAAAGCTAGAGCAGTGTTCCTTAAGGCGCGGTCCTCTGTCGGGCTCTTGTCAGGATGACACAGAGTGATTCTTAACCTTCCAAGTGATTCTATTCAGGAAAAGAAATGGAAATGCTAGTAGAATGTAGGCTTCATTAGAAGTATGTCTAAAGTTTATGATTAGGTTAATTTGTATGGACTATAAGCCATTTTCATTGAAAGCTGGTTAATTCCCCTATCGAGAGTGATTTCTTTGGGAGGGGAGGGCAGAAGGGATAGATATTACTATAAATCTTGTCTTTTTATCCCCAGATAATTCTAAAAATTGTTTATCAGTCTGGTCATCTTTTATTCACTGGATGTTTTGTTTTTCTTTTTAGTCCAAGGACAAAATGATGAGAGGCTCTCGCAGAGGCTGCGTTAGACTCAGAGTGAGTATTTATTGTTTTCATGGAGACCAATTTTGAAAGGAAGAACTAAGATGCTGAGAGGAAAAATTATTTCTCCCAGTAACTGCTAGTCAGTGTCAGGAGCTAAACTAGAACTCTGTCATTTTGACCCGTGATTTAATGTTATATTCATGACTTAATGCATCTACTGATTTTTTAAAAACCTCTCTTTTACAGGAAAGGAACAAGGGCTGGAAATTAAATGAGTTGTAATGTGTGGTACAGCAACTGTAGAAAAACCTCTGAAAAATCTCTGCTATTAGCTGAGATTAGCTATTTTGTGTTTCCTATTTAACACTAATTAATCATAGCATGTAGAAGTACTGTCCACTAGAAATATAATTTGAGCCACATATGTAATTAAAGTTTTTCTTGTACTCACATTTAAAAAGTAAAAAGAGGGGTGGACTTCCACATATTATGGTTTGAGTCCTGGACCCAGCAGCTTGAAACTCAGGCCAGACACATGTACGTGTATGTCCAAAATCCCAAGAAGAGAATGAAGAAGGGCTGTGGTGTGGCCATCCTCCTTGGGGAATGATTTCTCCCTTCCTTTCTCGCTGTCTCTGTATCTCCAGTGAGCACACATACCCTATGGCAAAAATGTCTCTTGAAAAAAAGGTAAAAAGAAACAGGTGAAATTAATATTTGTCTAGGCCAATATATCTAAAATATTATTATTTTAACACAATTGATAGCAAATTATCAGTGGTGTATATTTTAATATGGAACTCTTCACAGATTTGCATGTCATGCTGGTGGCACAAGGACCATGCTAATTTTCTCTGTATCATTGCAGTTTTAGTAAATGCGCTGCAGAAGTGAGCACAAAAGATATTTTACATTATTTTTTTATATACCAAGTCTTTGAAATTCAGGTTTTTTTTTTTTTTTTAAATTTACAAAAGGGTGTGTGAGGTTGGTAGAGGCAGAGAGAGAGGTAGGTCCCCCTCCCCACCCCCACGGGATATGGTCATGCTGCAATTCTTTCTCTATTTCTCCCTCTTGGGATTTTGAGCCCACATACGTACCTGGCATACTTTTCTTTTTCTTTTTAATAAATCAACTAACTGAGTTTTATTTGTTGTATAGTAAGCCACCTAACATCTTTCAGCTAGAAAGATACTAAATTTGAATAAAGATACTACAAAATGAATGAGAGCCCAATTAAAATTTTGTTTTTTTGGGGGGAATACCACAATTCTACTCAATTATGATAAACATATTTTTAGACCAGAATTTGCTTTATTTTTAACACCCATCATGCCATGAATTCATACGGAATAGGTTCCAGAAGCTCAGGCTCCTTTCCACTGGTTCTCACAAAGTGTTCTTCTCTGGGTGGAGCAGGCTGGTGCTTCAGTTGAACCCAGGTATCTTTCTCTTTGGCTTACTTCTTTTGCTGGTCATTTTCCTTTCACGTTTTAGGATGTTATCTCTGTTCTTTGAATGTTTAATATGCTCAATACGCACATTAATTCTGTCGGCTGGAATCTTACCCTTAACTTATTTCTTTAAAACAATGCCAACAGCATGCTGGGTAACATGGTAGACTCCAGTTTTGCCATGGTAACATTTGTGGGGCATTCCTTTTTGAACAAGACCCATTCCCTTAATGCCTACAATATCACTTTTCTTATAGATTCTTATGTATGTTGCCAAAGGGATCACTGCATGTTTTCTAATGCCTAAAGAACATATATTGGGTACCTCTCCTCTTTACCTTTGTGTTCATTATTTTGGTGAATTAGTGAAAGATGGTGATTCCAGTCATGTTTTTCAAACTACCATGTCTGGGACTTGAACTGCATGGTTAGTCATGTGGGTTCTAGCCCCTTTAACCACCAGGCCAAGGACTGGCCCCTAATGTGTCTATCTTTTATATTTATACTAAGGGCACGTCTTAATTCATACTGGCTGCATTTCAGGGAAGGGTCTCAATAGCTACCTTAGTAGACACTGCAGTCCCTATGACTTCATGCTGCTTTTAGTTGCTCATTCAGCTTTAAAGAAGTAAAGGCAAGAAAGAATGCAAGGCTGGGGGTACAGTTTCTACTACCCCATTGTTTGTAAAGAATGATAGGGCAGCAGGTGGCGGTGGTGGCTAAGGTGTAGGATCCCACATAACCAACTCTGCTGATTTGAGTCCTAGACCTGGCTGCCTAAAAAACAACTGGGCACGTGTGCCTGTTTTCTCAGATCCTGAGAGGAGAATGGAGAAGGGATTGTAGAGTTCCCATTCCTCCTAGGAGGTGATTTCTCTTTCTCTCTGGTGGGTACATGCACCCTATGGGGGCACATGTACTCACTAGAGATAGAAATAGATAGAGGAAGCAAGCTGTCAGGTCTGGGTCTCGAATTGTGTTCAGCCATGTAAGAGTTCAGAGCCTTAACCATCATGCCACCTGCTGGCCCTGCAGCCTTTTCTTTTTCAGGACCCTATTGCTTTTTGCCATCTTTTTTTTTTTTTTTTTTGTAAGCTTACTTTTGAAGATATGAATATATTTTGTAAGCATACTGTTGCCTTTTTTAGCTTAAGTTCATGGTAGAATTGGGATTGAGAAAGTGATCACATGGAAAATGTCTAGTGCTGAGATAGGATTAAATATGGCAGATTTGCCAGATGGAAATGAGATAGGGTTGCTTTGAGCAGATGGTGTATATGTGATAGCATAAACATTTTTTAAAATTTCACCTTACTGTGTGTGTGCGTTTTAATTTTTTAAAAACTTCCTTGAGTTTCTCTTTTGTCTGCTTGGTCTAATTGCTTTCCTAAGCACTTGCTATTGCTCTCAGTCACCACTCAGTCTGGTATTAACTGCCTTTTTGGCTTGAGCTAGGCTCAATAGTGAGACTTTGGCAGAGCTGTGTGGAGACAGCACTTCAGTTGAATTCAGTCTGGAATTCACCTGAATTCACTCTCTCATTGTTACATTAATGCACTGGCTTTGTCTGTTTGTTTTTATGTTTTGTTTTTGCTTTTAAATGTATTTTGATCAATTATTAACCCTTGTAACTACCACTCACGTTAAGAAATAGAATTTTGCCAGCTGCCTCCTGGTCCTCTCCATTTACCACAATCAAGTTACAACCCTGGGGACCAGCAGATGACATAATGGTTATGTCTTTGGACTCCCATGTAGTTGACTGTGGTTCAAGTCCTGTACCCGGCGGATTAAAACTCACTCTGGGTGCATGTGTGTGTGTGTGTGTGTGCCCAGGATACCAAGAGAAGAATGGAGGAGAAGGTGTTGTGGCATGGCCATCCCCCCGGGAGATGATTTCCCACTTTCTGTCTCTTTGTCCCTCTCTGTCTTTCTGGCCAGTGCACATGCCCTATAGCAAAAACCTCTCTTTAAAAAAAAAAAGAAATAAAAACTTATAATCTTGTTTCCTAAAGTAACCACTTCTGTTATAATCATTTTATGCATATCTTTGTCACCCAAGTGTGCTTTTCTAAATTCTACAGTCTTATCTTGCCTCTCTTTAAAAGCTAGATGTCTTTTGTTTACAGTTTATCTTTAGAAGTATCGAGACCCTTGAACCTGTAAGAGTTTGTCATAGTATAGATTTTGGTGATTGTGTAGTGGTGCAGTTGAACATGTTCCTCTGTTGTCTCTTTCTGCTGCAGATTGGCAGCTGCATGCAGAGACTGGATTAAATTCAGGTTCTATCCTTTGGCAAGACTGGAAAGTGGTATCTTTTAGAGAAGGACATAGTGTCTTGTTTGTGCTATTGATGCTAGTAGCCATTGATGCTCAGTATTCATACCCATTAACTTACTGGAAGTTGCAAAATGATGATAACCTATCATTCTGTTTTAATTTTTATCAGAAATAATTTTATAAGATGTGCTTCTCATGTAATATTTGGTTACCCAGTGTTCAAACAGACAGTCTAACTCTTGACTATATCCTTTATTTACCCAGTTTTCAAGGTAACAAGTTGGCTTCAAAGAGCACCCAATAAATAGTCAAAAGAATTGGAAACCAGGGACTCAAACAGGTATTTGTATACCCATGTTCATAGCAGCATTATTCACGATAGCCAAGAGGTAGAAGCAATCCATTTGTTCATCCATAAATGAACAGAGAAACAAAATGAGGTTTTGGAATGGAATGGAATATTACTCTGCATTAAAAAAGAAGGAAATTCCGACACATGCTCTAACATTGAATGAACCTTGGGGACTTTATACTAAGTAAGTTAAGCCAGTCACACAGAGCCAAGTACTGTATGATTTCACTTTTATGAGATACCTAGAGTAGTTAACTCATAGAGACACGAAGTAGGATGGTGGTTTTC